AATCCGCGCTCTTCAGCGGGAAGCTGGACGCGCCAAGGCTGCCAGCATTCGGACCACAGGTGCGCCCTCCTCGCTCGGCCACGGCGCCGCGGTCAGTGGTGTCAACGACAGCGAGCTGAAGCAAAGGGGGGCGCTGCTGGGTATTTCTGTGGGTTTTCAGGCTCAGGCTCGCTCACCCTTTACCTCGCTGTGCAGAAGCAGCGCGCATGCGACCCGATCTGCAACGCCGCGTGGAGCTTCCTGCAGCTGCATTCTGCCTGGGTATGGGATCTTCGCGGATCGCCGTCGCACCTTCAGAAGGCGTGGATGGCGCTGATAGACCAGATCAGGGGCGCCTCCCAGTTTACCAGGGCTAGCGCCAGAGGCCCGCTGTCAGCGCTCTGGCTCGCGCTGAAGCGAGTGTGCTGGGACATGGCGTCGTCCGAGGTGGTCGTCGACGACCTCGGCGTAGCGCATGACTTGCTCGGGGTGCCCCCTAGCGAGCTGAAGTACCACATGTTTGCCAGCCTGGAAAGATGGCAAAGTCACAGGATTCTGGATACTGCCTGGAGCTCCATCGGGATGCGTGCTCTGGGGACAGGTCACTTGCAACCGCTCTCCAATGGTCTTTGAGGCGCTCTGGTCAAGTTGCAGTCAAACGGCATGCGGTCGTCTGAGAGACGGCGTCCAGCTGGCTACTCGGACAACGCGATCTGCGAGTTCTGTGGCCACGAGCCCTCGGACCTAGAGCACGAGATCTTCTGCTGTTCGATCCACGAGCCGCAGGAAGACGAGGGGGGGCACCCCTACCCCGACGACGCCTTGCAGGCCAGGAAGGATATCTGGAGTCAGGGGCAAACGGGGCGTGGCCTGGAGTGGGACTTCACCCCCGTCAACATGCCCTACGCCATTCCTCTGAGGCCAGTGTTCAGACCCCCGGAGCCTTGCGCGCTGCCTGTCAAAGAATTGGGTGCAGTGGCGGGTCCGTGGCCAGGAACAGTTTTTGGTGATGGTTCTTGTTTTGACGGCGATTGTCCTGCGTCCAGGAGATGCGGATGGGCCGCGGCGGGCCTTGCGCCCAGCCTCGTCCCTTTTATAGTTATTTTTGGCGGCCTTGGCGGCCCTGTTCAGACTGTGCCCCGCGCAGAAAGATTAGCCGCGCTGCGCGGGCTCGATGTTGCTGCCAGGCCGGCCGAGTTTGTTACGGATCATGTGAGTCTCGCCAGTGAAGGGGCCGTGTGGGATGGCAAGCATGCCAGACCTCTGGCCCCGCGCTCTAGCGCCTGGCGCAAATTTTATCAGTTGTACAGTTTTGACGAACGTGGACCTGTTTTTTCTTAGACCAAGGCCCATCGTTGACGAGGGTCTGTCTGCGCTTATTGACCCGGGCGAGGCGCTAGATAATTTTTCGGCAACATGTGGGCCGACTGTCTCGCGGAGATGGCCGCGCTCGAGATGCCGGTTTGTTTGCGACCGTCAAGGATTCCAAGTTTCAGTTAGAACAAGCGCTGAGCCGCACGAGGTGTCTTGCGTTTGCAGCGGAGAGGGCGGCAAAGACGGCCACGCCTACTGTCAGGATGCCCCTTGCGCCAGGCCCCAGAGCTCGGCGCGTGAGGAAGCCCACCGCGCATGTCTTTGTCGGTGTCCCTGAGGGAGCCTTCTGTTGCAAGGGTTGTTGGAGGCAGGCCACCACCCCCTCCTCTGTCAAGTCTCTGTCTGCCCGTCTCTGTGACCCCCAAACTCCAGGGCCTGGCCATCTCGTGCAAGTGTCAGAGCGTGCGCTTATCTGCGCGCGCTGTGGAGCGCACGCGGCGCGCCCGCGGCGACTCTCGGTCTGCCCGGTGCGAGCTTGCAAGGGGGGCGGGACTGGTGCGTCGGGGAGTCGGGCGGAGCGGGATCGGCTGCAGAGGCTTCTCGAGAATGCCCAGAAGGGCCGTCGTCCCAACAGAGGCTCATTGTTGCTGGCCGACGTGCCAGCGGTTTTTTTTCGTGAGTCCGTGGACTCCCAGCAGGTGCCTCCGCGGGTGGGGGCCGTGGGCCCCAGTTTTGGACTCGCGGCCCGCGTTGGCCGCGTGAGCACCCGTGCGCGGTGCTGGCGCTTGGCCGCGCCGCCAGGGCGACCCCGGCCTAGCTGGGTCGCCCCTTTTTGTCTCGAGGCGGCTTCGTGGTTCACCTGGCCGCTCTCTGCGCTGCTCCATTGCTTTTCTTTAACATAAGAGCTTCTGTCTATTGAGATGATTCGAAAGAGAGAAATACCCTGCATGGCGTTGCATTGACATTGGTTTGGCCATGGTTAGACATCGCATCGTCACTGCGTTGGCATAGCGCTTGGCAGTGCGTTGGCATTGCGATTGCACGTCGCAAGCGTTACGCTGGCGGTGCCCAGCGGAACTCTCCACAAAAGGGCGCAATTTGAAACCCTCGACCAGAAGGGCTCCCATCGACCCCCCCCCCCAAAGAAAAAACGACTCATTCATGTTGAAACCTTACTCCGGAGGATTCCATGCGAACCCCTCCACAAAATGATTCCTACTGAAATCGATCACACATGTGTTCCCCCATTGGCATTGCATTGGCATTGGGTTCGGATCACCTTGGCATTCGCTTGGCATTGCGTCGGCGCTGCGTTGGCATTGCGCTGGCGAGTTCCAATACCTCCCTTCGCAGAATGATTATTTCTGCGCCCCGCACAAGAAGGATCCCGATTGAGTCATTCCACAAGGAGGGCTCATATTGAACCCATTCGAAACCCTCTATACAAGAAATCCCAATGCAACCGACCACACTGGATTGCCCCCTGGGCATATCATTGGGACTGCATTGGGGTTGCCATTGCATTGGTTTGGCATTACGCTGGCACTGCTTTGGCGTTGCGATGGCGAGTTCTAGTGGCCCCCACCATAAAAAAGGACATCCTATTGAAACTTTCCACGCGAGGGGTTCCTTTTGAAGCCCCCCATCAAAGGCTCATGGCAAACCCTTCCACCCAAGGATTCATGCCGAAACCCTCCACGGGAATATTCTTACCGACGTCCTCCGAAGAAGGATCCGTATCCAAATCATCCACATCAGGATTTCTGTTGGAACCTGTTGAAAGACTGGAGTCATGCCATCGGCATTGCATTCGCATTGCTTTGGTAACGGTTTGGCATCGCGTCGGTATGGTGTTGGCATTGCCATCGCAGTGCGTTGCCAGCGCGATGGCATTGCGCAAGCGAGTCCCAACCACACGCTCCACATAGGATTCCGATTGAATACGTCCACACAAATGATGTCTACGGGCCCAAAAAAATCAGGATTCACGTTGCCATTCTCCACAGAAGGGCTCCCCGTGAACCCCTCCGCTGACGGACCCCTTTGAAAATCCAAAGCAGAAGGGCCTTTAGACATATTCCTTCGTGGATGACATTGTCCATGGAAGGGTTCGTCGAAGGATTGCCATTGAACGCTAACGCAAATAATCCACTCCATTGGGGCTGCCTCGGCATGAAATTTGGATCGCCCTGGCGTTGGTTTAGCATTCCGTTGGCACTGCGTTGACACTGTCTCCCTTCGCAGAACGGTCCGCAGTGAAACCATCCACAAACAAGGTCCGTTCTGGAACCTATACCAAAATATTCTCACCCAATTGGCAGCGCATTGGCATTGGATTGCGATCGCCTTGGCATTGGCTTGGCATTGCGAAGGCAGTGCGTTCGCATTGCGACGGCATTGCGCTGGCGAGTCCTAGTGGCTCCCTCCGCAGAAGGACTCCCACTGAAGCCCCCACAAGAAGGACTCCTAGTGAAACCCTCCACAGGAGGATGCCAACCGAAACCCTGCACAGAGGCATTCCTATTAAATTCCTCCGAAGAAAGATTCGTAATGACACCGTCCACAAAGGATTCTGATTGAAATCCACCCGGCGAATGGATTCCCCCATTCACATTGCAGCGGGCACTGCTTTGGCATTGCGCAGTGCGCTGGGATTGCGCAAGCGAGTCCTTGTGCCTTCCTTCGCTCAACGATTCCGATTGAAACCCTCCAGAAGTAGGATTCCTCATAATATATACCACAAAGGCCCCCCTTCATTGGCATTGCGTTGGCATTGGGTTGCGATCGCCTTGGCATTAGCTTGGCATTGCGATGACACTGCTTCTACATTGCGTTGGCATTGCGCTGGCGAGACTATGGCTCCCTCCGCAGAAGGACTCCGACTGAAGCCCCCACAAGAAGGATTCCTAGTGAAACCCTCCACAGGAGGATGCCAGCCGAAACCCTGCACAGAGGCATTCCTATTGAATTCCTCCGGAGAAGGATTCGTAATGACACCGTCCACAAAGGATTCTGATTGAAATCCACCGAGCGAAAGGATTCCCCCATTCACATTGCACTGGCATTGGCATTGGTTGGCAATGGACTTTTATCGCATCAGCATGCACTGGCCTGGTGCAGGGGATAGACAGAAAGAGAGAGAGAGAGAGAAAGAGAGAGACAGAGAGAGAGAGAGAAACAAAACAGAGAGACAGAGAGAGAGAGAGAACACGAGATAACGATATGTCGAGAGAAGCATCTGATGAGGGGATTACAGCGAACAGAAGAATCGCAAAACAACATCAAGTTCATAAAGATAAAGGACCGTTCCACTCGATAAGACCATATTAAAGAACGACGAGGTACTCTACAATCCCCAGGCCTCGAGAACTCCCAATGCACAGCGTGCACCTTTTTGGCAAGACATATGTACGTAAGCATTCAGGCCGTAGGATGACACATTGGGAGGCGACAGCCACCTGGCTCCTAATCGGCGCCGACGATGCCTTCCCAGAGGAGGTCAATGATACAGATCCACCTCGTCACCCCCCCCCCCCTCCCCTCCCGCAGAAAGGACGCAAACATTCCAAGGAGGAGGGGGATGGAGGAGGAACGAGAGGTGGATCTGTGTAGTCGCTCGACTCTCAGCCTTTCCGCCCCCCCACCCCCCATGGCCCGTTTCGCCGGCTCTCCTCCCTCCGCATGCGTCCGTGCTCTCGCGTGACGAGCTCGGCGGGACCCTTCCGGCCTCTGGCCCGCGGCTGCGCGCGCTGCCTGCCCCAGCTCGACGTCATTGAGTTCTACGGGTTTGTTACCGACAAGCTCGAGCAGCTGAAGATCAACCCCGATTTCCTGAACCGGAACGTAAACGAAGGCGGCCGCGTCGTCCCACCGTGTGGTATCAGCCCTCCTCGGCTCCCGAGAGGCGACGCTGCTGCGACCGCCGCTGCGCTGTGGCGCGAGGGTGTGTCGGCTTGGCAGGGATGCAGGCTCCTCTCTGGTTCCTGCCGTGGTCCCTGGGTTTGAACACCGAGCCGTGCCAGTCTGTATGAAATGCTGTTCCAGGAAGGATCCCCCGTCGAGGGAACCACGCGTTGGCCCACTGCGTGAGCCGACGGAGGGTCCACGGAGGTCGTGCCTTCTTCAGAGCTCTGGTGCTGGGCATTTGGCCTCGCCGTGTGGCAGAGCGGAGATGCTGTGGTGATGTGCGCGGTGGGATGGGGACGGAGGATGGCGGCAGGGAGCTCAGGCGGAAAATGGGGGGAGGCACAGTGGGGCGCGCAGCAGGCATCAGGCGATCGCAAACATGGATCAATGGGGGCGTGGATTAGCGACGGGTCCCGTTTCCATGGAAAATCGCTGATTTCCGCCGCCGAGCGGGGCGGCACCGGCCGCATCTTGGGGAGGGCACCTCCCCCGATCCATGGATTTGGCGACCGCGCGCCAAATCCATGGATCGCTAATCCATGTTTGCGCGCCCCTGACACAGGGGGGCGTGCAACAGGCAGTGGAGGGCGCGATGGCGGCTTCGGATGCAGAAGAGCATCGGGAACAGGGGGGACGTGTGCCGCGTCGACGAGGCGGCGACGCCGCCAGCTCGAGTGCTCAAGGTTAAAGGTGGCCAGCGGCCTGGACTAGGGCAATCTTGAACGATCTCTGCCTGAGGAGGAGGAGCAGAAGCAGCAGCAGCAGGAGAAGGGAGGAGGGAGGAACACGAGGAGGAGGAGTAGGAGAGGCAGGAAGGAAGATAACGAGGAGGAGGAGGAGGAGGAGGAGGAGGGGGAGAAGGAGGAGGAGGAAGGAGGAGGAGGAGGAGGAGGAGAGGGAGGGAGGAGGGAGGAAGAAGAGGAGAGGAGGAGGAGGAGGAGGAGGAGGAGGAGGAGAAGGAGGAGAGAGGAGGGAGGAGGAGGAGGAGGAGGAGGAGGAGGAGGAGGAGGAGGAGGAGGAGGAGGAGGACGGAGGACGGAGGAGGAGGAGGAGGAGGAGGAGGAGGAGGAGGAGGAGGACGAGGGAGGAAACCAACGCTCACGTCGTCACGACAGGAGCCAGCCGTGGCGGGCGCATGGCGCGCAGAAGTGCCGCGGCCGTGCCGCGGTCCCAGCCAACGGTCCCGCGGAGGCCCACGCGCAGCATCTTTAAAGCGCACGGATGGCAACCTTCTGCAGTCGTTTTGGATATGGGGTATATTTCTGCACCGATCCCCGTTCTCTCGGATCCCACTGCGACGACACTCCGAGCATGCGCTCATGGGAAGAATGCCTAGCATCTCCGAGACCGCATCCGTGGCCAACGGCCAGCGACATCTCTGCGGCAGCTGGCACATGGTTCACAGAAGGCCAAGTTTGAGAGGCTGCCCTCATGCTCTTCTTGTCTGGTCGTTCAGCCTGCGGAGGTGCTTCGTTTGGGAGGAGGAGGAGGAGGAGGAGGAGGAGGAGGAGGAGGAGGAGGAGGAGGGGGAGAAGGAGGAGGAGGAGGAGGAGGAGAAGGAGAAAGGGGAATGAGGGAGTGATGCAATAGTGAGAGAATGTGGATGGCTGTTCGTCTGGGCTTGTGGCGAACAGCCATGCCGAACAGAGACAAGCACCCTGAGCACCTGCGCCTCAGTGCGGCATGAGCCACAGCAGATGTCTCATGTGATAAGCCGCCCTTCTGGTTCACAGCCGTCTTGGCTCGACATATTCGTTGCTCGGGTAGTCAGTGCGCCAAGTCGGTCCAGCTTCAGGTCAGATTTTTCCAGCTCCTCGCGGCTACGATTGCCACGAATATGGTGTATCGTGGAGGACGTGTCTTCCAGAAGTACAATTACTGCAGAATGTTTCTGTTGACGCGACCTTCCTGTATCTTATCGAAGGCGCCCACGGCGACACACCGCCGCCCCCTCCCTTTTGGAAGCGCCTGAGTTGTGAAACGTCGATCGAAAGCAGATCCACGCTAGTGGACTGCCTGTTCCCCCAGCTGGTGGGGAAACACTGGTGAATGCTGGGATGGGGGCTCCCTGGGGCCGTCTCTGGGCTGTTTGGGTACTCTTTTCGGGCCTTCGTGGGGGCCTCTGGGGGCCCTCTTGGGCCATCTTAGGGCTCTCGGTGGTCGTGTTAGGCCGTTCTCGGTTAGGCCGTGTCAGGGCAGTCTTGGGGTCCTCTTGGGCATTTTATTGGGGCCGTCAGTTGTGGAGTCTCTTGGCCGTCTTGGACGTTCTTAAGACCGAACGTGCCAGAATCCGAACCGCACTTTTGCCTTGGGGCAACTTCCAAGACCTTCCAAGACCGTTGGCGCTGTTCTTGCAGGGCATCTCGTTTGGGCTCTCTTGGAACCGTCTTGAGGCTTCAGCACCACTGGGGGCGAAAAGGTGAGAACCCACATTTCATGTGAAACTCCTCGTGTCGTCTTGGAGGCGATGTTCGGCTTTCTGCAACCATCTTGGAGCCATCTTGGGCCATACTGGACGTTCTGACGCGTCGCTCTCCCCTCTTTTCCCCGCCCCCGCCCAGGCCCAGGGGAGAGCGGGCAGAGGGACTAATTCCTCCCCGAGGGGGAAGAGGGGCGTTGGACGAACTATTACAGTGGGGGCCCATGCCAAGAAACACCCCGCTCGCCTCCAGGGTGCCCTGGGTGCCTTGGGTTTGGTTTTGCTATGGGGAGCGTGGCGTTCCCACACCAGAAATCAATGGACCTGGGGTCTCAGGGTTCAGTTTCTTGTGGAAGGTTTCTTGTGGACTGGCCCCCACTGTGTTATCCTAAACCACTTGCGCCCAGAGGGCTGGCAAATCACCCCTCCAATTCTGTGCCGCAGCAGAGCCACCCACTCGAAGCTCCCACGGGCGCCCACGGAGCGTGATCCCGGCAGGCCCAGCCAATTATTCGTGGATATTAGTAGGAGGCCTTGAGTGCAAACGCCGTCTTGGGAGCAGCGTATCGTTGTTCAGTGATTTGGGGCTCTCGGGCCAGCTCGCAGGGCCTGAACGACGGCTCAGGAGGCCTCCGAGAGAGCCCCACTGGGGGCAAAGTGTTGTCATCACAAAGCGATCTGGAACTTCGGAGTCCCAGCTAAGCGTCCAGGGTCTCGTGCACATTCACACTGTAAGCACCAGCAGCGCTCGAGACAGCCCCGAGGTCCAGGGCCTGGGACCCTTGACGATATTTTCCAACTTGCAGATTGAATCGAGGAGTAAATAAGCCGCCGGAGCGCACTGCACTCCGTGCCTACGTCACGGTGGCGGATGCAGCTTGCCGTGCATCATTACCACCCTTGCGCTGCTTCTTTGGGAGCTGGCCGGTTATTCGAGGCGCTCTGCGCTCTTCCCCGCGCCCACGCAGTTCTCGTTGCAGCTGATGGAGGGCGCGAGACAGCCCGAGGACATACCCGATGCAGCCACCACGGTGCCGAAAATGGCACCGTGGGCTGCCAGAAACGGGCCCAGCACTCCATCTGTCCGACGGCTTTTTGGGGGGCCCTCCACGAGGTGCCCTCCTCGAGAGGTGCCCTCCTCGAGGGGTCCGCCTGCGCGCGGCTCAGACAGCCGCGGAGAGCTTCGCGCGCCAGCCACAGGGCTCAGAACGCGCCCATATTGTAATGTCCCGAGTTTCTTCCCTCTTCATTTGCCCGAACCTGCGAGCACCGGAGTTCGAAGAGCATCGTGCACGTGAAAAGTTTGGAGGTCAGCGCTGATTTCTCGGATCGGGCGCCCGGCACCCCCCTGGCGGCGCCTCGGGTGCCGCCCCTGGCGCGCTTCGCGCGCAGAGGAGGGGGGTCCAGCGCCGATCCAAGAAATCCGCGCGGACCTCCGAGACATGATTCTGGTCTCTGAACAAGCGTTGGGGGTTACCCCCCCGACGGTGGTCAACCTCGCCTCGTCTTCGCGCCGCGACGGGGGTCGGAGCGCCTTCGGCGCGCGGTGGCTGCCCGCGACGGGGGTCGATGTGGGGCTGTCGGCGGGGGTGACGCCCCCCGACGCTAATTAGGAAACTCGGAGTATGTTTGGGCCGCTTCGTGTTCTTCAAAGAATGTCCGCCTCCACGGTGCTCGGGATCCCTCCTCGTCTTGCGGTGGAGGCTGTGCTCCTCGTGTGATGGCCGAGCGCCGTCATCCTTTCTGGCTGCGCGGTGGCCACTGCGCATGTCGGTGGTCTGCTCACCCACGAATTTCAAACAACTCGTCGTCATCCTCATCCTCCTCCTCCTCCTCCTCCTCATCATCATCATCATCACCATCACCATCACCATCACCATCAGCATCATCATAATCACCATCACCATCACCATCACCATCATCATCATCATCATCATCATCATCATCATCATCATCATCATCATCATCATCATCATCATCAGCACCATCACAATCACATTCACAAGCATCATCATCATCACCACCATCATCATCATCATCATCATCATTATCATCATCACCATCATCACCATCATCACCATTATCATCCTCATCCTCATCCCCATCCTCATCCTCACCACCATCATCACCATCATCATCAGCATCAGCATCATCATCATCATCATCATCAGTATCATCATCATCATCATCATCACCATCATCATCAGCATCATCATCATCATCGTCATCGTCAGCATCATCATTATGTCAATGTGCGGCTTCAACTCCTCCTGGTGCTCCCCCATCTTTTCGAGACCGATGCCGCCATTTTGGACTGCGCGGCCTCGGCCCCCGCAGCGGGAACACGGCTCAGCAGGCAGAAGGCACACGCTGGCCGCTGGCACGATGGCTGTGGGCACCACCGCTGCCTCGCGAGACGCGGCGTCCCGCTTAATCCGGCTCAATCCCGCT